AGAATTTTAGTTTCATCATCCAATGCCACCCGATGAGTTAGTAGACTTTGGCGTAAACCTTTCTACAATACTTAATTACAAGATATAGAGAAAAAAATAAGAGTGTAGTAAGTTCCTATAACAGGATTGAAATTGATTGACTATACAAGTATTACGATGTTTGAAAAATGTGTTGATCATTTTGCGTTGGTATTAGTATAAATATACCCACAGTAATCCTTTAATTGAGGCGGAACAACTAGCCTACTGTAGGCTATAGTATCACCAAAAATTCTATTTAAAAGGACTAAAATACTGTGCTGATCAAATCATCTCCACATATTAGTAATTTTGCTGCAATTTCAAACGTGAAAGACAATGTATTCCACCAATAACAACGAAGCGAAGAGAGTGTTGTAATGCCACTTTAACGCATTGGATATTTTGGAATTCTATCGAAGATATCGACTTCAGGAATAACATTTCGTCATTTGCTTGTTATTGATATGTCTGACTTAAATAGCACAACAGGCAAGAAAATGGAGAGATCAATGCATATTACTATATTTATGTTCGTGGTCAATATTAACAATCTAATGCCGACTTGAATACCATACCAGGTTACTCGTTACACTACTCGCAAATATCCTAACTCTAACTTAGATTCAACAGCAAATTATCTATCCCCAACATTCGTTAATGGGGTATTCGATGTATCTTTTTTCAGTGCAAAAAGTAAGTTACTAATGATCATAAGTATTAACTATATTATATAGTATTAATAAATGAACTATCTAAGAATAAATTTTAACCTCACCTGTACTTAAAAATGGCAATTTTATACATACTTAGCCTAGCTGATAATATGGCAATCTAAATCGCTGAGTTGCTTATTGCTAACAGAACTAGAAAAGCTCTGATTGCATATGGATTGGATCTTCATTCTATCGGTTAACCATCTGCAGGTATGAATACAATAACTTTAACTTGTAAATGGGAATTTTTGTAGTCCACGAGCAGTCAAGTTGTTCTGTCGTGACGGTCGAAATCCTCAACGCTTCTATAGATACACACAACTATAAGGTAAGCAACGAGTTTTGAATACACTCCGACTTGCACAATCATTTTATGTACATGAGAAGCAACCAAATGGATCAGTGACTACGTTTCAATAATTTTACTTTTGATTTCTTGTCAACATGGAACAGCTGAACAGGCGCCCACTCCAGCTTACCCTCTCCCAATCTTTTTGACTAAATGGCATGCTATTAATTAATAGCACATGTTGCTACTACAGTAGTTTGTACTAGCAGCTATAGAAAGCTTTCGTTCAACATGGCTGTTCATTTATCCGTTGTTATAGCAGGAATCCAACAGGGTTTACTGCAATGAATGAAGGGATTATCCCTGCACGGTCATCATTTCCGGTGTTTACTAGCACTAGTCAATCGTTTCACACTTTGTGCCATGTTGACTTTCATGCTGAAAAATAGTGATGAGTTAATAACTGGTTTGAAAATGGAATTGCTCAAGTACGGCCAAGTTTTGCTTAATATCATTACCTAATTTCATTTTGTAGTCGCTTCAATTAACGTTACTCAAGATCTTTATTAAATCAATTGCTGTCACTTATACAGTCCGTTTTTCCTTATTAGCTATCATTCCAAATTTCGCCAACTTGCTAAAGTTCATAATCAATTGTAAAGATAAACACGAGTACCTGCATATCTAGTTGTCATTTCGATAGAATGTAGTTATTATTATGAAAGGTTTTGTAGAACTGTAGACAAATATCTGTTATATAACATATAATATAAGCATATAAGCATATAAGCATGTTACAAAATTTTTGATAGCAGACTCTACCCTAAATTACATATAACATAATAAACATTACTCGAGGTACTAAAGTAGAATAAGTATTGCCAGTTTGAACTTATTACAGATCGTCAAGTTCCCAAGGGATGACCAAAAACACAAGGAATTACTAAACTATAATTGACTAGTACAATAGACGAGTGGATATTTTGGATGAACAAGATAGAGAAGCAAGAATGAGATACTCCATTTGATCGCACAGTCTTGGGTGGGCTATGGGCCTTGCTGACGAAGATTGACCTAGAAGAAAATACTGACTGACTAGCTTTACTGACATGGCAAGTTGTTCAATAAACTGAATTACAATCAAATGACTCATTATATATATATTATGACTATCATCCATGCCATTGCTATTCACTTTCATTACTCTAGTGCAAGGATTACTTAAATATAGTGTAATCAAAGCCGTCTGTATTCTTGAATCAACTATTGATCAACTAACATTTTCCTGTTGTCTGATCGTGTGACAAGTACGCGTACTTGTGATGATAGGTGATCAAATTGAATCTTATACTAGAGTCTATCGATGTGGCAGGAATAGGACAATCATTCATGATTCCTGTTTGACATGATCATTTTGTTAGATCAATCACTGTATCATTAAACTAGAGTGGGCAAGATTGGAACAAAATGAAAGACGTCTAATAGGACTACCGTCATTAAATTAGAGTCAGTAGTGAAATACTGGCATTCGATTTTTATACAGGCCCATGATTAATAGAATTGGATGGAGTTTTATGTCATCATTTCGTTAGATCCATGACTGTATGATTAGATTAGAGTCGGCAAGACGATGGCTAGAATTGGATGGAGTATTTACATCATCATTTCAGTAGATCATTGACTGTATAATTAGGTTAGAGTCGGCAAGACGATGACTAGATTTGGATAGAGTTTTACATCATCATTTTAGCAGATCATTGACTGTATGATTAAGTTAGAGTCGGCAAGACGATGACTAGAATTGGATGGAGTTTTACATCATCATTTAAGCAGATCATTAACTGTATGATTAGGTTAGAATCGGCAAGAACTAGATGAAAGTTTTACATTATCATTTCAGTAGATCATTGACTGTACGATTAAGTTAGAGTCGGCTAGACGATAACACAAATTGGATCGAATTTTACATCATCATTTCGTTAGATCAATGGCTAAATGATTAGGTTAGAGTCTGCAAAACGATGACTAAAATTGGATAAAGTTTTACATGATCATTATAGTAGATCAATGACTGTATGATTAGGTTAGAGTCAGCAGGACGACGACTAGAATTGGATAAAGTTTTACATGATCATTTTAGTAGATCAATCGCAGTTTAATTAAGTCAGAGTTGGCAAGATAGGATCAACATTGCATTTCTTCCTTGTAAGACGTCCAGCAGAACCACCCTAATTCAATTAGAGTCAATTATGAAATGCTCGCCACTTGTTTTATAGAAACCGATGATCATTAGAATAGATGGAGTTGTAGGGGTCCATTTTAGTAGATCAATCGTGATTGGGTGGATAGGAAATTGGCAAGATTTTAGTAATACTACGAGTGGTTATTCGATATATATTTGAATAAAAATAAGATGGAGGGCCGCGAGCATCAGGTGTTATGGAGATCAACTTGGGATCAAAGCGTAGCAGCAGGACATTTTTTATCCTCGTCTTAATTCTCCACTGTGTGATCTATTCAATCAGACTAAGCATTAATTCAACAGATTTAATAAAACGTTCTCTCGATTTCAACATTCAATAATCCTTGTTTAGCGGCTATTGCCATCATTGAGCTTAATTACCCCAATATCAAATCTAATTAGACTGAGCTGCATTTACTCCTCAATTGGTGTTGACTAATTTTGAATCATGATTAGACTACTGTTATAGACTACAGCCTATCCTTAACTCAAACTATCCACTAGGCTATAGCCACTTTTACTTCAGGGCAGAAAGAAAGCTGAGGTACTAGCTGTTACAACTAGAAATAAAAGTCAAGTTATTCTATAAAATAGAGTATCGAACAATTCGCTATAAACACTTTTACTTTAGAGCAGAAAGAAAGCTCAGGCTCTAGCTGTTGGAAATAGAAATCAAAATCAAGTTATTCTATGAAATAGAGTATCGATCGATCGTA